TGATTCCTATGCATACCATCAGGTGAAGTCCATGTGTATAACCTGCGTTTGTGTCTCTTGTAAAATGTATTTGCAATGAGCTACATTAAATTTGCATTTACCATTTCAAGTATACTTTGCAGTGTCATTATGCACGCTCACAAAGTTGTACAATTATCACCGTTATTTGTTTCTAAAACTTTACCATCATCCTTATCAGAAAGTGTAAACTACCCATCTTCAAGAGGCATCATATCATTATAGAATAATCTTCACTATTCTATTTTCTGTCTCTATGCATTTGTTTAGTTATTTCATGTAAACAAGACCATTTTTTCCTTTTGTGTCTGCTATATTTCATTTAGTATATTTTAAAGGTTCCTCCATGTTGTAAACCTTTTATTATTTTGCTTACCTACTTATTTGTTGATTCTACTTGAGTTATTTCTCCTTTGGATTGTTATGGATAATACTGAAGTGGACATTAGTGTACTAATTTCTTTTTGTTTCTCTGCTGTTCTTTAGGGTAAATGTTCATGAGAAAAATTACTTACTCACTTGGTAATTCTACATTACTTTTTTGAAGAACTACCAGAATGTTTCCCACAGTTGTTGTTGTAGTTAGGTGCCATTGAGACGAGTATGACTCATAGTGACCCTATGAACAAAAGATCTGAACGTAGTCCTGTCTTTTGCCATCCTCACACTTTCTGACACACAAGAGCCCATTGCAGAATTCACTTTGTCAGTCTTCAATAGCACTTCCCAGCAACATGTCTGAAGTATGTGAAGCAAAGCCTCATCATTCTCGCCTCTGAAGAGCACTCTGGCTGCACCCACTCCAAGACATATCCATTTTCTTGGCCGTCCATGGAATGTTCAGTGCTCTTCTCCAACACCACAGCTCAAAGGCATCAATTATTTTTCCGTCATCTTTATTCATTGTCCAGGCCTCAAATGCTTAGCTAGTAATCATGAAGACCATGGCCTGAATCAGATGTTAGTCCTCAAACAGACTTCTCAGTAATTTGGAAAAATCCCTAACTGCAGATTTTCCCATTGCAGTGCATCTCTTTATTTCCTTAATGCTTGTACCAAGGGTTTTAGTTGTGGATCCAAGCAAAATGAAGCTGTTGCCAGTTTCAGTCTCCTCTTCATCCACCATGATATGGCCAAATGGTCCAGTGGTAAGAATCTTTGTTTTCTTGATATTGAGGTGCAATCCATGCTAAAGGCTGCACTCCTTGATCTTTTGCAATAAGTGCTTCAAATTCTCTTCACTTACAGCAAATATTTCATCTGCATAACACAGGTTATTGATGAGTCTCCCTCCAATCTCAGTGCCACATTCCTTTTCACAGAGTCAAGCATCTCAGATAATTTGCTCAACATACAGATTGAACAGGTATGGAAATAGAATACACCCCTGATACACTTCCTTCCCAGTTCCAAACCATAATATTCCCCTGCTTCGTTCGCACAACAGCCTCCTGATCCAGGTGTAGATTCTTTATGAGCACAATCAAGTGCTCTGGGATTCCCATTCTTCTCAATGTCAGTCACAGCTTGTCATGATCCACACAATCAAATGCCTTTGCATAGTCAATATAACACAAATAGACATTCTTCTGCTATTCCTTAGTTTCAGACAGGATCTATCTGATACCAGCCATGATATCCCTGGTGCCATGGTCTCTTCTAAATCTCACTTGAACTTCTGGCAATTCCCTATCTATGTACTGTCCCAGCCATTTCTTAATTATCTTCAAAAGTATTTTGCTAGCATGTGATATCAATGATATTGTTCAATAATTTACACATTCAGGTGAATCATCCTTTTTGGGAATAGGAACATATATGGACCTCTTCCAATCTGTTTGTCAGACAGCTGTTCTCCAAATTTCCTGGCATATATCTATTCCTGGGGCCTTATTTTTGCCAGTTGCTTTCAATGCAGCTTCTAATTCCTCTTTCATTACCATTGGCTCCTGTTCATATGGTACTTCCTGAAATTGTCCAATATCAATAAATTATTTTTGGTACAGTAATTCTGTGTATTCTCTCCATCATCTTTTGATGCTTTTTGGGCCATCCAATGCATTGCCCATAGCATCTTTCAACATTGTGACATGAAGCCAAATTTATTTTTTAATTCTTTCAGCTTGAAAAATGCAGAGGAAATTCTTGCCTTTTTATTCTCCAGTTCCAGCTCTCTGCACATTCCAATATAATACTTTGCTTTATCCTCTTTAGCTGCCCTTTGAACACATCTAT